TATGTTATTAAACAGCAAGTATTTATCAAGCCTGGCGCTAGAAACATACCTGTAGCTAAACGTATTGTGATTGATATTCTGATAATTTATGTTTTAGATTGACGTTTGTGTTCTACCCATTTAACAAACAATTATTATTAATGTTAATTTTTTTAGGAAGCTTTCCCCGAATCCAAAAGGTTTGTGCGTTGATACATAAAACAAACGGTGCCATTTTATTAAATTACCGAAAATAATAAAAGGGTATCCTTTTATAACCAGGTAAAAAACCCTTAAAAAGTTAAATTATATGTCATTAAAACAAGTTGAATAATGTCAACTGAGTTCCTGAACCATTCAATTAAAAATATCGCCAGAGGGTGTAGCGGTAAAAATTAAGCAAAAGTATGTAAATGAAACAAAATTAACACGTAAATATGGACTTTATAAATGAAGGTATAAGCGCTAAATTTAATTACCGTCGCACCCAAACGGCTAATATTTATTAAGTTTAATTTCGGTAATGGAGGGAATCTTGAATTTTCAGCTAATCTTTATACAATTTTGTTACAGCGTTTATAGGAAAATTCTTTCTTCTGTGGGTATTTGTAAATGTGTACAAAATATTTCCTATTTTCGTTTGTTATTTGGCGAAATATTATTGTTAGGAGAGAGCCATTCATTGGGAGTTTAATAAAGGATACAGACGTATTTATAGATAGTAGGTACATGGTAAGTAATTCTTAATGGCCAGTAGCTTTGAGCAGATACACAATGAAGGAAACCTTTGTGGACATCCATTAGTTTCGTAAATAACAGGCAAGTATTCGCGTTATGCTATAGATGTTGTTTAGTAGGATAGTTGCCTATTATTCAGCACTTTTTTCGAAATGACAAATTTATATGAATTTCAAATAAAATAGCAGGTTGTCGTAAATTGGTAGCGTCAAACAGCATACTTATTTCTTTTGAATTATCTAAAAAAAGAAGTAAGTAAGAAAATCGTCAAATTTTGAAATCGGTTGTGTTTATTTTTAGTAACTTTATGGACTTACTGGATATTTTTTTTTGAAAGAAGTTATTATTACTACTTGTAACTTGCCATAACTATTTTCTTGGGCTCAGATTATTGGCAAGTGATTTGAGTAGATGGCCTCCGAATACAGAACAAACAGCGTTGTGTTTGAGTGAGGTATGCCCAATACTTTCCCTCCCCAATCTCTATTAAATTCTCAAATCCCCAACACCCCTTATCTGGTATAGTTGTACCAAACCATAATATATCCAATGGTCGATATCTAAACCTTAAATTTAGCAACCGCACGATTCTTTGTTACTTTATATTGAACCTTAAAAAAGGAATTAATCATAGATAAAAAAGTTCAAACATATATTATTGTTCGGTCTTAATGTGTCAAATTAAATAAATGTTTCGAACAATACCAAGTTTATTTTTTATATTTACGTTCTACATTTAAATAAAGCAACAGTGTATTCTGAACTTTATGGCCCAGTGTTATCGAATTTAAAAATCCTATTTTAGTATGCGAAGCAAATTTTAAAAATACGTTCTAGAATATTCTTTAGACCTGGCTGGAAGCCAGTTCCCCTGAACTGTATAGGAAAATTACGAATAGAGAACGACAAATAGCTTCTTGGTTGTCATTTCCAATTTTTAACGCTTTTTAATATTTGTCATTTTGGTGGCATTTATTTTGTTTATTCCGTGACGTCATGGGGTCGTGTGCTATCTTATAGCTGTTTTTACAAATGGTAATTTTGTTTAACTTTGTATAGACCTACTGCTTAGCATTACAGGTGGATAATTTCTTGTTTCAATTTACCTATGCATAACTATAGAGTGTATATTTGTTTGCTCGTATATTTAATTTCATTTTTGTCGATGCTTTAACAAAACGTACATACACTTTTATTTCTCCATACTTGTAACAATCTATATATATATAAAAGAAAGTCGTGTTAACTGAAATTCGTAGGGAGGGAGTAAAGAACTGGGAGAAGGACATATGATAGGATAGAGTAGGTAGTGTAGGTTATGTAGAGAGTAGGATAGGTAGCCAAATGACGGGAGCGACGCGGGTGAGAGCTAGTTTCTCATAAAAAATAGTATAACTAACGCCATACACCATTAATGATGTAAAATGAATAGTAACATCTTTTTTATATGATAGGACGGAAAACGAATAGACGTATTACCTGATGGTAAGCAATCAGAGCCTCCCATGGACACCCGCAACAACGGAAGAGTTACGAATGCCTTGACGACTTTTTGGAGATTTAGGGATTGTGAGAGGAGAAGGACCTCACTCAGGATGAAACCGTTGTGGTTGTTTCACGCCGGTTTTCTGTGAGGCAGTAGTATCACTCCGGTTGTGCCGACTCATTCGTGCCGACGTATGACTGTCCCACACTTACTTTTATGAACCAAATATAATTAAATATCTCTTCGTAAGTACAACCAGTTTTTATAGTCACGTTGTGAGGCAGCTTTTAAGTATATTTACATAGGAAAAATAAGAAGTACGGTCGGCAGAAGTATGAATACAATCTTACGATATTTCAAGGACGATTGTTGACCTAAAATATTTCCGAATAAAGAACGTGAATAATACGAAAATGATTTCGAAGGTATTTCTCTAACGAGGACGTTGACCTTCTGAATCTTAGAATTGTTAGTTCGAATAGTATTTTTTTCTGACTCTTCCTTGTATGACATTTTTAGTTCGTTAACTCACAATTTATTTATTGACTAGCTTCTGCTAGCGACTTCGTCCGCGTGGAATAGTGAGTTATCGCAGATTTTTGTTTTACCCACATAGTGGCCGATGGGATTTCTGGGAAGTTCTCCCTTTGAATTCCCAGAATAAAAACTATCTTATGTCCTTTCTCGAATTTCAAATTATGTCTGTAATGAATTATACAAATCGGTTCAGTAGTTTAGGGGTGAAAGAGAGACAGACAGACAAACATTTTACTGATTGCATTTTTGGCATCAGGATCGATCACTTATCACCCCCTGGTAGTTATTTTGAAAATATATTTAATGTACAGAATTGACCTCTCTATAGATTTATTATAAGTATATAGATTTTAGTTAAATTTTGTTACATGTAGCAGGTATTTTAACATTTCTTCACTAACATGGGAAAATTAAACAAAGAAAAGAAAAAAGGAACGAAAATATTTCGTACTTAACTTGCAAAAATTTTTACTTTTACTCGGCAAGAATATTATAAATAACATTAAGTACATTGTTTAAATGTGTGATTAAATTAATTTATTAGATAAATATAAACTTCTTAACTTATATAGTATCCTCGAGAGCGAAATAACCTATTCTAAAACAATCTCTTCATAACAAATAATTCTAATTCAAATCCATTGAAGCGAGTACATAAAGCATTAATTACGCTATTGACCTATAAAGCCGTCAGTCCTGTAGCCGGGGCAAAAGTCACGACCGAAATGCAAAATAATAAAATAACAAAAATAAATAAAAGAGAAAACATTATTCCTTTGAGAATGGCGAGAAGCCGGAAATAGGAAGTGTCTTAATGAGCCCGTTGATTGCTCAATTAGCCAGCACTAGACTTGTACTGAGAACAAAGTAACGAGGTTTTATTCCTTTTTATATTTTGACTAATGAATTGTCGTTCACAGGACTTTCTAGTTTTAGAAGTCTAAGTTCAATGCGAATTTTTCTTGCCAAATCACATCATCGGCCAGCAAGTGTTCACTCAACAAATACCTCTTCTAACACAGAGAAGGTTTGAGCGCTAACCATCACTCGTGCTCAATGTGGATTAGCGATTTCAAAACTTTTAATTAGGATTTATAAGTCCAGGTTTCCTTACGATGTAAGTAGTGCTTCAGCGTGGTGTCTAAATAGTTTTTGAAAGTACTAAACCTAGAAAAGTTATATTGGTACTTTTTTTGTTCGAACCCGCACTATTTTGTTTATTAACAGGGCTATCATAACTCCATATTGCGTTTGTAGCATCAGAATATTGACCGGCACCCGATATTATTTTCATCACCATCATCATTATCATCGGTTTACCGTTACTGTTTCGGTGCTGGGCAAATCCATTTAATTCAAATATCTATTTTTAAGAACAATTATTAATACAAAATTAGGTTTAAAAAATAATTTATATTTTTGTTTTTAAATGGTTCATTTGAAAATAGAATACAACATTCTGCAACGCACAATACAAGCAATACGAAGGATCATACATACAATGGTATAATTTATCCCTAATAGTTATTTGGCAATCCGATATAAGAGGCACCCTATAAATAATTGAAATTAAACTAATTATTATGCATTACGTAAAAAAATACAAGCATCTTAAATCATTAAGGTTTGAACAGAGTTGGAAGATTTATCTAACTAAATAATTTACATAGTTTTCCTGGAAAATGTATTGGAAACTACAATGAGTATTTTTACCGATTTCGATGTTCGTTATTATTTTGTAAGTTTTTTAAGAAACATAGACGTTAAAATCAAACAAAATAATACTGAAATAATTACGTAATTATGTAGGTTCAGTATTATTGTTATATTTTGTAATAAGCTACAAAAAACATTAATTTTTAACAATGTATTTTTCTTTTGCAACACTCGTAATGTGGCCGCATCTCTTTTATTAAAAGGCAAATATCGAAACATTAAAATATCCAAAAAAGCCGTTAAGTTCCAAAATTAAAAAGTTGCCAGCAACCGCAACATTGGTAACATCATTTTATATTAAAATTCACGGCGTAACGAAGTCTTGCTCTGAACTCGCTGTATTATTATGTAAAAGACGAAATAACTGATTAGTTATTCATTTATTCGTACAAATTGTGTTGGTGACGTGATAATAAATGATGCAGATATTTTAAATTCACATTTTATTTGTGAATATTTTGTAAGAGAAGAATCCATTAGCTCGTTTTTGTCACCGTGAGTCAGCATGATATACAAAATTAACAAAGAGTGCTGTTATATTTACCATCATTCATCCAGTGTCATTTCACTATGACACATTCGTGCCCCTCCGGCTCGAACATTAATAAAAACATAGGAAAATAAAACTTTTACAAGCTTAAATACACTTAAAAGTCATAAACTTTGAGTAGTTCAGTTTAAAAAAGTTCACAGCACTGTAGATTGCGTCGCATAGAAAGTTGGTATAAGTTCGCTTACTAATGTTTGGGGGTATAAATCAATTAGTTAGTTTGACGTGAGGGGGGGTGCGCGGGAGCGCGGGATTATTCGAAGCGTGGAGAAGCGTATCGGCGCAGACTAATCGCGTCGCGCCGCGCCGCTGACTGCGGGGCTGCCGTGCCGCGGCCGCCGTGCCGCGTACTGCCGCGCGCAAGCGCTTCGCGGCCTTCGCCGCAAATTTTTCTCATAGCCCGTTCCAACTAAATTGCAAAACCGCCGACCGCCCGTTGAAGGTACGAGAAACGCGCCGAGGGATTCTCCCGCAATGTAATCACCCGAAGAACAACAAGGCGGGATAACGAGCCCGCCTTTTTCTTATAAGGAACGACAGTAATTCACACTCAACTTAATCTTATAATCGGCTAAAGAATTAGCATAACTTACGCACGCCGTAATTAAATTTCGGTCCGGTTCGTGTTAATTAATGTACTTTGTATTGTTTTTCGTTTAAATGGAGCGATGAGGGTCTAATCTTAAGTGTGGTCTTCTTTTGAAGTATAAAAGTAAAATGAGATTGTCACTTTGATGTTTTTGTTTTGTTCATGTGACAAAAACACCAAATATTTAACAAGATTTTCTCAATAAATCTGCACAAGCTCACGTTTCCAATTAAATCTAGTATCCTCGTTGAGTTTCAAAGCAACACTTGATTTTGAAAAATTTCGTTGTACCTTTTATTGAGATTAAAAATTCTACAGTTGCATGCAGTGTTTGTAATCTTTTACCTCAAAGTTTACCTAGACTATTTTAATATTCGTTTGAATTTCGTAACGAGTTTTTTGTAGGTACATTCACCCTGGGGCGGGTTCACAGTAATTGAGTTATTGTTCACTATTTCGGTAGACTTATAATGATTGTCTGGAGAAATATTAACAAGAGTCGGGGTCTATGTATCGCTTATAAGCAAAGTGTGAGGGTTTGCGTTTTGTTTCTTTGACAACTGTGCAATTGACAGTACTGTTAAGCCGATGGTTGGCGCGGGCTTTTACGATGCTCACAGACTATGAATGAATTGTGTTCATACCGTCGGTCGCGTTCTGGTTTTGTTCGTTCATTCAGTTTCGCATTGGTCACGTTTCACTCCAGCCAATATTATTGCGCAGATTTAAATCCAATGCTTCTCGATTGGTTTTGTTTTACTTTTTAAAGAATAGTTTTGAATTTGGTTTTTAGTTTGTTTTTCTTAACAGTAAACAGTTTATTCAATTTAAGCCTACAGACACGTCTGATAGCTGTTACTAATTATTTTGAGCACGAGAAGTTTATGAATCAGATTAGGATAATATTTTGCCTCTCTGCAATTGCTCACTTACCTTGTAAAATAAAGGTAGTAAGGTATGTAGGGGAAAAATGTGTGTAAGGAAAATATGTGGTTTTACGTCTTGTGTAATATTAACAAAGTTGCGGAAAGATGGATTGATGAACCTAATAATATTTGTAATGAAAGAATAATGTTTCCTGCACATCGGTTGCAATTGAAGTGGTTGCCCATACGCCTAATGGGGCGCTAGGCGCTAACCACTTTATTTTCCTTTCTTAACTCACCTTGCCCACCTAGCTATATGTCCTCTTACTTCCAATACACATGCGCAAACCATAATAAATACCTTCGCCCTTCTAATAATCGTCTCCTCAACTGTCCAACTCATCACTCAAAATTTCTCCATTCCTCATTTTTCGTTCAGGCTATTCTTCTGTGGAATGCCCCCCGATATCAGGATCTTGACTAGTCGGCTGCCTTTCAAGCAGAGAGTTCGAGAGCTTCTTTTGAAGAGGTTGGGGGAAATATCGTGACTATGACTGCATATACGTATATATATGTATATATATATATTTACTGCCGTATAAATATGCATTATAATGTATACCTTTATATAGTATGTATGTACGTAAAGTGTGTTATGTATATTTTTATATATATGTTTGGTATATTCAATTGAATTTCCTTGCTTCTGCACCTGCCACTAGATTATCTCTGCATTACCCAAAGGTAGACTGGTAGAGAATGCTCATTGTATTAAGTCCGCCTATGTACAATGCTTTGTGCATGAAGTCTTAAATAAATAAACAAATAAATAATGTTATCTGTTGTTATATGTTTGTATGCCATTTGCACTTATTTTTATTTTATTTTGAATACTTATGTCGGAAATAGAGCATACGTGATGCAGCCCTTAGACACCCGTAACCACATTTACACAACTAAACACTACCAAGCTGGGGTTCTGTGAGGTCGTGGTATCACTCTAAGCTGGCTAAATCATGCCAAAACATGGCTCTCCTATAATGACTTATCTTAAATCTGTCCAAATAGTCCAAGTTCCATCAGTGAATAACCAAAACTGTAATCATTAACTGAAATACCTTTAGTGAAACACCCGTTCACTATCAAGCTAATAGCTCACTATTGGAATAGTTTGCTGATAGATATTAAACAATATTGCAACCGTTATCTAATATTACACTGTTTGGGGATCAAAATCACGTCACAGTTCATGTCCGGACCGCAAGCTAAACTTGTCACAAGTTAGAAAATACGATTTCCGGCCTCCGACGTCGGTTACTCTCACCAGTACTTGGGACTCTGGAAAATCTTTCGTTTAGCTAGTATGGAACATATAGAGAACAGTACATTGGCTTTTTACTGCTAGTTATTGCTGACCTTTGGTTAGTGAGGGAGTTAGTGAGTATGCCCCTTTTTATGTGATGGACAGCAAACGAGGATTGCCTTATTTGCAACAACAGAGATTTAAATCTAAATCTCTGTTAAATTCACTTAACACTAAGTGTGGGAGAGCCATGCTTTGGCACGAATGGGTCGGCTCGACCGGTGTGATAGCACAGCCCACAGAAAACACAGACGGGGCCCCATAGGGCTGATGTTCAGCCGGGGTTGTGGGGTAAGCGCAATGAGGCACCGCGACCTCGGTCTAGAGCAGCATAGCATATAGCATATTACATAAAAAAGAGGAGTTACTAGTGCGTTGCTGAACTTTTGGGGATTACGGACGTGGAGATTTAGGGATTTATAAATGTTCACTAACAATTGGCTTCGGACTGTTACTAATATTTTATATTCCGTTATTTATTACACGGTAAGTGTGAAGTCAATTTATTGAGTATTAAATACCGAGGACTGTATTATACAAAACAAGGACTAAGGAGATATATGATTTCTTGCCAGATAACGGGGATAACATTAAACTGTTATTTATTATTACCTATGTTGACGATGAAATATAGTGTTAGTAAAAACTTATAAACAAATGTTATGGATGACATACTTTTAATAAATTTAAAATAAAATAAAATAATATATAATGAAAATAATCCTATGAAAGACTAGACTTCAAAATTCCGTTTATATTAATTTAGTCTTCTAAAACTCATGTGATTACATTTGATTACTTACCCGCTCAGATATATCTTCTTTGCAGTAGTATACTATTATTATCCTACCATTATTCCTCTCGCTCCATTGTGGGTGACACAAGTCATCGATTACCTCAGCCGGGGTTGCGGGGTAAGCGCAATGAGGCACCGCGACCTCGGGCCAGAGCAGGAGAAGGAACGGAGGGGGGGGGGGGGTTTTGGTCAGTAAGAGTCTGACACTCTCTCTCGCCTTACCCTGGAATTCATCAGTCAGTCATTGGATGATTTTTCCCTGATAGAAGAAAAGTCATCGATTACCACTAAAAAAAAGTAACGAGGTTGAAAGTGCGGCATCGCTTTGCTTACCTTATTGCCTTAGCATCAGGTGATCCGACTGCTCGTTTGCCGACCAATCCCATAAAAAAACAACATCGAAATAAGTTTGTAGGTACTTGAATTTGTTAGGCAAGGTAAACTTTTTGACTTACCCTCTTTGAAGTCAATGGACTTTCTTGTAACAATATTTATACAACAAGAAAGCCTAAAATAATAATGACATCAAAAGGTACGTTTACAATAGTCGCAAGATGGTCGCACTGTTGCCAAGGAGGATTGTAATGAAATATATTGTCATTCACTTAATTACTCGATTAAGATGTTTGAAGATTATACATAGATTACTTCGAACAAACCATCTAAAAAAATGATTATTGTATTATTTCGTCAAAACCCAAGTGAACGCCAACCTTTTATTGTGTCTCAAATTGCCACCATTGAAAGTTAAAAATAGTAACTTATTATTGTTTCTTTTAATGGCCGTCGTGGTGGTCCAGAGGTAAAGGACCGCTTTTTATGCATTACGGTTCAGATTCGAAACCTAGCAAGTACCAATGTGACCTATTCCAATTTATATGTACTTTCTATGATTATTTAGTCATTTTTAATTTTATTATAAGTTTGAAATCGCCAATCTACCGTAAGCAAGCGTGGTGATTAATGCTCAACCCTTCTGCGTGTGAGAAGAGGCATTTGCTCAACAGTGACTGTGGGCTTGCCCACTTCAGCCTTGGCTGATAATGCTGATGTTTCTTTTATACTGACAAAACATATTGGTTGGATACGATTGCATATTTGGTGGTGGTGCTATGTAATAATAATAATAAGTAACTAATAAATTATTTATTTCATATAAGTTGCATGTATGACATTGGTTATATAAATAATTCTTCATTATTCTACTAAAACGAGCACCTATCTTCACTGATGAATACGGTGATAGAATATTATTCTGTTTGGCGTTCCAAAATAACCTAATAACGACTGATTTTGACTTGGAACAAGTGATACCTTTCAATTTCCTAATATGAAAAATAACACCAGACTCTTTTCGATAGTAAATCCTATTACAATAATTTGGATGCTTTTACAAGTGGCCTATCCTCCTATTATTTCGCGTCGATACACGAGCAGAAGCCCCGAAATAATATACCAGGATTTATGATTCTGAATTTGATTATACCCACACGGCCGTTGAGACCTTTACATATTCATTTCATACCCAAGCCTCAGCTTAGGTTCAGTGGGCATCGTTGAACTTCAAGCGAGTACTAATTGAGGTCAAATAGTCTAATAAAATTATGGTTGTTATGTTAGCT